TGTGGCCAGACCTCAGAAACACCGCTCAGTGGAGAAGCCAGACACAAAGGGCCGTGTTGTAGGATTCCATTTATATGACATGACCCCCCAAAAGCAATCTATAGAGCTAGAGCCAGATGAATGGCTGTTTGGGGTTAGAAGCAGGCGGAGGCTTCTTTTGGGGGTGATGACCATGTTCTAGAGTTAGACTCTGATTATGCCATACACATCTGTAAAGATGCTAAAAGTCTTTCAATGGCACCCCTAAAGTGGGTGCTTTTATGGCGGGTAAACTATAGCTCCATAAAGCTGTTTTTCAGAATGATAAAACTGCGTGGCTAAAACATGATGGGCTTCGGGAGTCTAAAGGACACTTGTTTCGACATGGACTCTCTGGCTCTACGAGAATTTGAAAAACATGGACCGTGTTTATAACTCAGAAGAGCAGGCCAGGAAGAGGGTCCTTGGGTTAACCTGACCTTAATCTCATTCTGGTCCTGGTTTGGCAGCATGATACAATCATATGACTTCAAGTTTTTGTCATCAAATGTTGGTGAGGGTGTCCGAGGGAGCTCCAAAAATGTGTGATCCTGCTACAGGAGGGCTTCCGCTGCCCAAGCATGATCATGAAGTGTCCCCTCTTGATCTTTCACAGATAGTATCACATCAGGATGAGGCACAGGCTCTGGAAACAAGCAGACCTGCCTCAATTCCTCTGTTCCTGTGTCCCTGTTCAGTACATGAGGGTCTTTGGACAGGTCACTTTAACACTCCTAGCCTCTGTTTTCTCACTGGAAAACTGAGCATACAGTCTTCATCAAAAACCAAACCCACTGCCATTGAATTGATTACAATGCATTGTGACTCTATACAGGGTTTCTTTTTGTGTTTTGTTTTGTTTAACAGATCTAAATGTTTACTTTCTTTTGTTTTTATACTTAGTTGGGATTTAATACATATATCATATCATTCCATAGTTCAATCATGTCAAGTAGAATTGTACACTTGCTACCACAGTTTCCAAACATTCTTTTTCTACATGGTCTCCTTGACTCGTCTCCCTTTTACACACACACTCTGCCACCACTGTCCCCCCTCCCCATGAACCCCTTATTCTACTTGCTGTTCCTATAAGGCTCATCAATCCTGGTTTCATTAAACAGGGCTTCTAAGATTAAATCTTTACAACAGCAGCCAGCCTCCTCTTTCTCCCATGAAGTGGCTGGTAGATTTGAGTAGGAGTAGTGATACCATGAGGGTAGGGGGTGGCCAGGGAGGGGGAAGGGGGACAAAGGGGAACCCCTCAAAAACTGGATGTAGTATAGCCCCCACAAAGGGGATGAATAACAGAAATGTGGGTGAAGGGAGACAACGGACAGTGTAAGATATGAAGTAATAATAACAATATATAATTGATCAAGGATTCACAAGGGTGGGAGAGTGGGGGAGAGAGGGGAAAAAAA